CCCTGTACAAAAATGCACAAGCTTGTAGGAAAATATATTTTCATTTCCCAAAATAACAAATGGTGGAAAAGTGGCAACAATGACCTATAAAAATAAAACTGTCAAATATTCTGCACGACCAACTAAATATATATATATATACATATACAACAAATAAATAAAACTGCCTCTTAACGTATTACTGTATTATGTTCACTATTTGGTTCACTTAAGACGGCAACCTCATTCCATATACGTCTATATTATATAAAGAATTAAGAGAATTGATAAAATACATACATCAGTAAGATGAAGTGCATCTTGTGCCCTAATTAGTAACATATATTGAAATATACAACCATAGAAATTTGATAAAGAAAGGATATCTTTTATACAATCTTAAAATACCCGACACAAGAAATTAAATGAAAGAACTTGCGACTTGCAAGCCAAACTTGAACGGTCTATCATACCTACATTCGTGCTTTTGAAAGAGAAGAAAATCATAGTTTATTTAGAGTACTGTACTGCAACATGTGATGAACGATAATTAAACACCAAATTACTTCTACACAAACTGTTTACAGTTAACTCTTACAAATAAAGAATAATTACAAGTGTTAAAGCTAATCACATTGAGTATGGAAGGCACGGGATAACATGGCTCATAACCGTTTAACTTGCCGCTCACACAGCGTGCCACTCACAAATGATGCCAAGACTGAAAGCATATCAGGGATGATGTATTCATAATCCTGATAAAAGAGCACATTCACTTCACAACCACTCAAAAATTATATGATTCTTGTCATTTATACACACAGTGTTAAATTCTTGTTAACTGATAAAAATACTGTATAGATTTGATTAACCTTATAAATACATTAAATGTAAGTAATCGGTCCTTATCAGCCACATGCAAAAGAGTAAACTTCCATATCTTATTAATGGGATTAAAATATTCAATATTTTGTAGCACCTTTGCATGCTAAATGAATAACATTTAAGAACGTGTCTCTTAAAAAGCTATCTTCATTTTTGTTTATTAACATTCTTGTCAACAGAAAGTCAACATACAAATCAGAAGAAAATATCACTATTCTGTTAGGGATTTGCACGCAGTCTATAGAAGGTCCAGGTTCAAGAGTTCCCTCAATAGCATTTAAACTTATCTGGTGTTAAGTTAAAAAAATTTCCTTAACCTTCACATTTCATTTAAGAAAAATTATCATATTTCTCAAGCTTCCAATTCCAGTCAAAATTTGGTAACCTACTATTTATAAAAGAAAAAATAGCTAGTGATATTTCTAATTGAGCTCTTGGTCTTTATTTCAAGCGAAGGGTTTTTTGCTTATTCATATTAGTTAACATTAACGATATGTAAGAGGTAAGAAGATCATCCATCTTATAGCCAAGTGAAGTCTCACACAGCAGCTTCGTGCCCCTCACCAGGTTACCAATCGTCATGTGGAAGTACGTATTGCCAGATGACCAGTTGCTGATTCTTGTGAAGGGATTGGTAATGAGAATTTCCTGCAATTGTAAAACAAAATTAGTCCCAATCTTTACAAAACTCCAGGAACTCTTCTGGTTGATACCTATGAAGTAACCACTGTAATTGAATTTTTGTATATCTTATAAATATTATTATATAAAGCATTCATAAATTAATTATCAAAAGAAGGTACCAAGTCAGGAAGACACTGTAAATGTTCATTAAGCTCTAGCTAATTATATTTATATTTTTTCTATCAACAAAGACATTTTAAAGTCTTTTGCATTATAATCCAACACTTTCCATTTTTAGTATACCTGGAGAGGGTTTCGAGAGTTGTTCTACTTCCCGAGCCCGGCCAGAGGCCAGGCTCGACTTGTGATAACTTGGTCCAACAGTCTGTTGCTTGGAGCAGCCCGCAGGCCCATATACGTATCCACTGCAGCCTGGTTGGTTTGACACGTCTTGCAATAATTTCTCTAAGTGTGTCTTTAAGACTTCCACCTTTGTTCTGGCATTATTTCTAATGCTTGCTGGGTGCGTGCTGAACAGCCGTGGACCTTTGATATTAAGACAGTGCTCTCTGATTGTGCCTATGACATCTCTACTCCTCAATAATTCTATTCTGTATTTCCTTCCATATCTTTTGCTCCAGTATGTTGTTATTCTACTGTGCAAATTTAGAATGGTTATTCTACTGTGCAAACCTGGCCTTCCAATATCTTCCATGTATATATTATTTGATATCTCTCTCGTCTGCTTTCCGGAGTACATTTTGAGAGCTCTGAGACAGTGCCCATAATAAGTTGGGAGCCCAGCCACTGCTGACTTCGGCCACCTCTCTCTCTGGCCTCGCGTGGAAACCAACATCATTCAAGTAATTCTTCATTTATTAATGCAGTACTCTTGTAATAATATTACACATTTTAAGCTTTTCATTTCAACCACCAACTCTAAATGTTATCATAAGGGGTTTACATAATAAATTTTAGGGCAATATTTAACACTAGTCAATGTAAATTATAACTTAATATTCTAAAGAAAGCCAAGCTAAACTTGCTAGTGTGCTATAGTATGTCCAAATTTAAAGAAAAAGTAAAACAAAAAATCCTCGCATGCAATACCTACTGTCACGTCACTTCCGTCACACTTGTTCCACCCTCAAGTGTCATATCACCCGCCACACTTGTTCCACCCTCAAGTGTCATATCACCCGCCACACTTGTTCCACCCTCAAGTGTCATAACACCCGCCACACTTGTTCCACCCTCAAGTGTCATAACACCCGCCACACTTGTTCCACCCTCAAGTGTCATAACACCCGCCACACTTGTTCCACCCTCAAGTGTCATAACACCCGCCACACTTGTTCCACCCTCAAGTGTCATATCACCCGCCACACTTGTTCCACCCTCAAGTGTCATATCACCCGCCACACTTGTTCCACCCTCAAGTGTCATAACACCCGCCACACTTGTTCCACCCTCAAGTGTCATATCACCCGCCACACTTGTTCCACCCTCAAGTGTCATAACACCCGCCACACTTGTTCCACCCTCAAGTGTCATATCACCCGCCACACTTGTTCCACCTTCAAGTGTCATGTCACCCGCCACACTTGTTCCACCCTCAAGTGTCATAACACCCGCCACACTTGTTCCACCCTCAAGTGTCATATCACCCGCCACACTTGTTCCACCTTCAAGTGTCATATCACCCGCCACACTTGTTCCACCTTCAAGTGTCATATCACCCGCCACACTTGTTCCACCCTCAAGTGTCATAACACCCGCCACACTTGTTCCACCTTCAAGTGTCATATCACCCGCCACACTTGTTCCACCCTCAAGTGTCATAACACCCGCCACACTTGTTCCACCCTCAAGTGTCATATCACCCGCCACACTTGTTCCACCTTCAAGTGTCATATCACCCGCCACACTTGTTCCACCTTCAAGTGTCATATCACCCGCCACACTTGTTCCACCCTCAAGTGTCATAACACCCGCCACACTTGTTCCACCCTCAAGTGTCATAACACCCGCCACACTTGTTACACCCTCAAGTGTCATATCACCCGCCACACTTGTTCCACCCTCAAGTGTCATATCACCCGCCACACTTGTTCCACCCTCAAGTGTCATAACACCCGCCACACTTGTTACACCCTCAAGTGTCATATCACCCGCCACACTTGTTACACCCTCAAGTGTCATATCACCCGCCACACTTGTTCCACCCTCAAGTGTCATAACACCCGCCACACTTGTTCCACCCTCAAGTGTCATAACACCCGCCACACTTGTTACACCCTCAAGTGTCATATCACCCGCCACACTTGTTCCACCCTCAAGTGTCATAACACCCGCCACACTTGTTCCACCCTCAAGTGTCATAACACCCGCCACACTTGTTCCACCCTCAAGTGTCATACCAACTTATCCTCTTACATAATAAGTCACATTTTTAATGGAGTAAACATCATAAATGTGGGCTATTATAGCAGGTTATGTTCGTACATTTGTGGTTTGGCAAAACAGTTGCCTTTTTAATAGTTATAAATTAAGAGAATGACCTGGTTTATGATATAGTTGTCCTCAAGCTTATTGAAATGCCAACATTTAAATGTTATAATAATACATTAAAAACTCTAGGACAGTATAGCACAAGTAAACAATTATACTACATAAATAATGTACATGCAATGATGCAGGAGTGGGAGGGGCATGATGTTCAGAATAAGCTTACCAGTCTGCACGATACTTTAATGCTTTAAATATATGCAATAATTCCGTAGATATACGGTACACAACACATTTAAATGTTTTCTAACAAAATAGGCAGAGTAAGGTACCAACTTTTGAGACTGGGTGAATGAGAGAAACTCCTTGCTTGTTGATGGCTATGAGGAGATGCTCTGGATAGTTGGGATCTGTTGTCTGTTTCACCTCAAAGAACGCAGAGCCAAACGTAGGCCATCGATATATCACTTTGAGGAAGGATATCTTGGCCTCCTCAGGACTCATGCCTGTTAGGAGACAAAAGAGTAACCATTTAAACACTTTAAATTTGCTACAGTAAATTCATAAGCTACAATTATCTTGGCCCTGCCAATTATGTGTACCAATTAGGACAAAAAACCAGCATTGAATGTAATGAAACGCCATTTTTTGTGTGAGACCCGGAGGCTCCCGGAGGTATCCAGGCTGATACGCTACTGTCAGGCTTTGGCATCAGTCATGTGTGTATGGAGTTCTTTGGGCCTACCGGGGACCACAGTCAGAACCTGGCCCCCTCAGAGAGGCAAGGGGAGCAATGGCCAATAGAAACCCCCGTGTGGTTGGAAGCACTATGTCATGGAAGCACATCGACTGGGTCAGGCACCCAGAAAGGTAAGCATTCCAAAACAAACCCCTATGCTGGAGAAAATATTACTACCAAAAGCCAAACAAGTGGATAGAACTCCCCAAACAAAAAACGAGCAAACTAGTATGACGTCACCTATTGCCGCGCTACTGTCTGTGCAGCTCCCCACTCCCCGGGAGGGGGAAGGGGGAGCCCCAGACCAACCACGTCAGCGATCCACACCCCAGTTCTGAGGCTGGATGTCAAAACACACGAAAAATCACCGACCGGAGAGAGGGAGGATGCCGGGGAGCCTCCGGGTCTCACCCAGAAAATGGTGTTTCATTACATTCAACGCTGATTTTCTGGGGAGAGCCCCTACAGCTCCCCGGAGCTAACTACCCACAGAGGAAAAGAAAAGAGGAACTTACCCGGGAGGTAGATACTGCTCATTCCTCAACCCAAAGTCGCGACAGCTGGCTGCATCCGCCGACCCAAAGCGACACAGGACCGACTGGGCCCAGGGACATTAATAACAAGGTAACGAGCAGCCAGGACCCTGTTCAACCCCCAAAATCCCTGCGCCCGAATGTCAGCCCAAGACATATTGCCAAAGATGGCGGCAAGAGCCGCAAACTTGCGAACGTCATGGCACGGGGATAGAAAGCAGGCTGGCTAGCCTTAATAACCCTGAGGATGACCTGGGAGATCCTCACCCGCGAACAGGGAAGAAGGGAAACTGGATTAACCCAAAGCGCGTCAATGGCTAGGTCCCCATGATTGCACGCATTGCAGGGGTTCAGCATTTTGATTGTTTGGTAGTTCTGGAATAACTGGTTAGCAGTATCTTGCCTGGGCCTCCCTTAGCAGTCAGTCTAAGGGCCCTGGAAACCCCCATTGGGGCTCATTGTTCCAATGAATGTGTCCTCTGAGTCAGGAGAGGGACGTCACTTCTGCCGCTCTCGCGATCGCTGTGTTCGGACCCCGGGGGACTTTGCATCCCTTGCGACACCTAGACCTCGGCGTGGTCTAGGCGTCGCCCATTTTAAGTGGCGCCCTTTTCCACCTGCGAGGCATTCACGGTGGATGCTTTTCGGCAGGACTGGTCGAGGTGGGGGTACCTGTTACTCTTGTCCCGGTCCAGCTGTTCCTTCGGGTTCTGGCTCGGTTGCAGCCCATTCCCATGAGAGCAGTCCTTATGGTTCCTTGGTGGCCGGCCAGCCTTATTTTCAGACGCTGCTTGATAGGTGTTCGAACCCGGGGCGTTTTCCCACGGCTCCGCCTCTTTCGGCAGGTCGAATCAGTCCTGTCCGTGACTGGTTCGGCCTTCTCCTCGGCTCTTCGTGTCTGGTATTTTGACGCGGGTATCACCATCTCTGTGGTGTTCAGGTGGCTTTGTTGAAGCCACCTAAATAATACAAGTGGTCCTACAGCCATACAAGGCAAAATAAAAAAGAAAATAAACACCTCACAAAAGCACGTCTCCAGGAGGAAGAGAACCGGCCGCTATGCATATTATAGGACAGCTGCACAGTACCTTGCGCCCCTGCCAGCGACAATACTACCTCCCACCCAAGGCCAAACAGTGGTAGGAGAAACCCTCGCTGACCCCAAGGGCGGGCAATCACCAAGCACCAAAAGAACCCTGTAGAGGCAGTCCCCAAACAGTTTGTGGAAGGTAGCCCCAAACTGCAAGGGCAATACTTACAGGGCACCTAGGGAAGGGAAGGGAACCCTAAGTGCATGCAGCCCGAGTATTCAAGGAATTACACCTGGCTCGCACACACCATACTGCAGCACAACACCACAAGTCACAGCATTGCTCAAAGATTGGAATCAGAGTCAATTGACTGCCACCCAACACAACAGCCTCAGAACTGGAGTTGGGTAGCTTGTGCAGAAGGTCTGGGGCTCCCCCTTCCCTCTTCCGGGAAGGTGGGAGCTGCACAGACAGCGGTGCAGCGGCTGTGATGATATCATGCTTGTGTGCTTGTTTTCTGATTAGGGAGTTCTGCCTGCTCGTTTGGGTTTCATTTTGCAATTTTTAGCCAGCTGTAGTTTGTTTTGGGATTCCTACCTTTCTAGGTGCCTGACCTGGTAGATGCCTTCCAACTACACGGGGGTGTCTATAGGCCATTTGCCCCTCGTGCCTCTCTGAGGGGGGGCCAGGTTCTGGCTCGTTGTCCCCGGTAGGCTAAGAACTCTATCGATTGACTGTTGTCACGGTCTAATATATACGCATCAGCCCGGTATAGCTCTGAGGAGCCAAAGGGGCTCTCCACAGGAAAAACATGCAGCACAAAAAATAGTTCCAAGATTTTGAAGATGACTGGTGCCCAAACTGAGGTGTCACAGCTATGAAGACAAGCTGAGGGAACTTATTTTAACAGCTCCAGGAGAGAAGGACTAGAGAGAATACAATTACTATGCAAAGTAGTATAAAGAACAGAGATGAGAGACAACAATCTTGTCAGACTGAAGGGAAATGGGACAAGATAACATGGGGTTAATGCTGGAAACATAAATGTTCATCCACCATCTTCATCGTGTCAAGGAATGTCAGTATGTGCTGTGTTGCCTCACCTGCATCACCATTATAGTGCTGCACTATAAGCCTCTTCCATTCAGTGGTACTCTGTGACTTCGCCAGGTCTGCTGGTATAAGATCTCGCAGCATGCTCCTGATGGAAGAAAAATGATCTTTAAAGTAATAGCACTCACAGATTTTCCTCAATTGCACAACAGTGTTCCTATTAAATTATAAAATTCTCCTCGTTTGCCTACAAAAAAACTGAACAGTAAACATTTATAAGATGTGCTGTCAGAGGAAAACACACTAATGCAAACTATTACCATAACATCTCCGTGGTCTCCGTGGTGTAGTGGTAAGACACTCGCCTGGCGTTCCGCGAGTGCTATGTCATGGGTTCGTATCCTGGCCGGGGAGGATTTACTGGGCGCAATTCCTTAACTGTAGCCTCTGTTTAACGCAACAGTAAAATGTGTACTTGGATGAAAAAACGATTCTTCGCGGCAGGGGATCGTATTCCAGGGACCGTAGGATTAAGGACTTGCCCGAAACGCTACGCGTACTAGTGGCTGTACAAGATTGTAACAATTCTTGTATATATCTTCAAAAAAAAAAAAAAAAAAAAATATTACTCCCTCACAGTTTAATAACCTCCTAAACCAGTTTCACTTTTAAACTCCACTGGAAACATTTCCACCGGCATATTAAGAAATAAACTCCAAATATTAATAAAAATAAATTCATGGGATAAAGTACCCATTAGAAATATTTAAATTGGTAAATTACAAAAAACCCTCACTTAAGTGACTAGGTGAAGCACGTTTCTAAGTCGTCCCACTTGGCAGCTTCTAAAGCAACATGCCATGTCCTTAGAGAGGATCATGTCAAGCAGGATGAGAGTGGATGTCCACTGGAGAACAATTCAATCTCATTCTGAGAAGGTCAATTCATACAAACTGCTAAGTCCTCCAGAACTTTCCTTTGGCATCACAGGTGACTGCCAAGACCTTCAAGACCTTTACTATCAAATATGACTTGGTTACAAGTGTATCTGCCAGTTTGGCTTGTATGGGGATCAAAATGAAGTGAAATGTAAAGTGTAATTACCTAAGTGTAGTTACAGGATGAGAACTACATTTGTGGTGTCCCGTCTTCCCAGAACTCTGTCACATAACGCTTTGAAACTACTGTACTGACAGTTTCGGCCTCCACCACTCACTCAACTTGTTCCAACCGTTTACAACTCTTTGCAAAAACAAACTTTCTTTGGCAGCTTTGTTTGACGTTTTTTGGCAGCTTTGTTTCTGTAGCTTAACACTTTCGCGCTCTCGGCGCTCAAAAAAAAAAAATACCCCAGATGCTTTCGGCACTTCGCGCGCCTATGCGGTAAGACCGAAAAAGTGTACACTCTTTTGACTGTCCTGACAATAATTGAAGGCGCACGTATTTAAATTTGGTATCACTGTGTTCGCAATGAAATTGTCTATAAGAGCATACCTATAAAATGCCGCCCAAGCATAAGGAGTATCAACACCAAATAAAAAACTATGCAGATCACTCGCCGAGAGCGCCAAACAGCAACAAAATGTTTCCACTCTCTTAATGGTTGCGAAGCCTACAGTTGTCCTACATCGCTAATTTTGGTATCATTGGAATCGCAATAAAATTCTCTACACGGACATATGCATATGAATGTTTAATATAGGTAATTGCCCACCCGCAAGAGTGTGTGAAGTGGAGAGTAGTTAGCCGGGAGCGCACTGGCAAAAACACAATCATGCTTGGAAAGTTTATACATTTATACGTTTCCTGACCCTACTTTTCTATGTACGTATTTCTTTTTTATACCAATGTGTTCGCAATAAAATTTTCTATAAGATGAACTGTATAACATTTGTACAAAGCATGTGTAAGAGAAGCGCCAAATATAGAACCACGTCGCTCAGTATGCGTTCGCGGCAGAAACGAACGCATTGTTTTCGTTCGTTTGATGTTTGTCATGTTTATACTTGTTGAAACATTTTATAATTTGTATGACAGTGATCGCAGTAAAATTCCCTACACAGACATATACATAAAACATACAAATATTTCCCACGTGTTGGATATATCAACGGCTAAAGGGAACCCACTGCCACACGCTCGCCACACCCCCAAACATACTTTGTGTATTTTTTTTTTACTCATAGAAGTTTATGTGATATAATATTCATTCTGGTACCAAAAAATTCGCAAATAAATTCTCTACAAAACAAAAGTATCCCCATCCATTTCGGTTAAAAAATGGAATTTATAGAAATATTTTTTCGATTGACGAGAAAAGTAGGCAGTTATGCGGAATCGTAAGAAAAACCAGTGACGAGTTATCTCTAATCGAAAGCGCGAAAGTGTTAAATCTATGACCTCTTGTTCTTGAAGTTCCAGCTTTCAATTCATCATCAATTTTGTCAGTTCCCATTACTATTTTGTATGCAGTGATCATATCACCTCTTTGTTCTGTCTTCTAACTTTGGCATACTGTATTTACGACCTCTAGCCTCTCCTTGTTGCTCTTGTTTTTCAGTTCTGGAAACCATTTTGTTGCATGTCTTTGCACCTTTTCCAGTTTCTTGATGTACTTCTCAAGATATGGGCACCATACAAGTGCTGCACATTCCAGTTTTGGTCTCACAAGAGTTGTGAACAGTTTCTTTGGTATTTCACCATGTACTTAAAAATGATTTTGAAGCTAGAAAGCATAGCATATATACTCCTTGCACAATGTTCATGTGTTCCTCTGGTGACAGTCCACTATCCAGAACCACTCCTAGATTTCTCTCTTTCTTTGTTGGAGTTCTTTAATGGTTGATCCTTTATATAGACAATGAACATTGCTGGTGCTTGAACTGAATCCAGTGGTACTCTGTTAGTAACACTCCTCCAGTCGAATACATTAACTCTGATTACCATGCACTTTTCTAGCACTTAAATTTTTTTTCTATGTCAGCAGTCTCCCTGCCACCCTTCCAGCATGTTCCACTTTCCAAACAGCCTCTTTTGTTGGACTCTGCCAAAAGCATTTTTTACGTCCAGATTAACAGTCAACCCAAATAATCTTTCTTGTAGAATCTCTGTATCTCGTAAAATCATAATCATAAAAACTAGGTAGATTTGTTACACACGATCTGCCTGCTTGAAAACAATACTGTCTGTCTGTCTGTTGTATCATTTCTCTCCAGGTATTCTATCCACTTGGTTTAACTATTTTTGTTTGTGTTTTGACTACTGCACTTGTCAATAATATGGGTATATTATTTAGAGGATCTTACTCTGTTACCATTTTTGTAGATTGGAATCATGTTTCACTTTTTCATATATCTGCTAAGATTCCAGTACACAAAGATGTCTGGAATATCAATTGAAGTGGAATGCTGAGCTCAGGTGCACATTCTCTCAGAACCCAAGATGAAACTCCATTTGGTCCAACTGCTTCATTTCTTCCTTGCTCCTTGAGTAATTTTTCCACTTCATCTCAAGACATCTTTATTTACTCTATAGTGTTCTCTGGAATTAGCATTTTGTCTGGTTCTCTGAAAATCTCCTTTTGCACAAATAAACTATGGAACTGTTCATTTAGTGTTTCACACATTTCCTTTTCATTCTCTGTGAATCTGTTCTCCATTTTCAACCTCTAAATTTTATCCTTTACCAGCAAGTTTCTTTTAATGAATTTACAGAATAGGGCTGGTTCTGTTTTACATTTGTCCGCTATCTCAAACTTTCTTTCTGCCTCTTCTCACTGCTGTGTAGCTGTTTCTCGCTTCTTTGTATCGCTAGTATGCTTGAGGTTTTGTATAATGACAGACACCCATCACTATTACATTTCACACTGTAAAAATTTTGCCATTTTGAGACAAAAAGCAAACTTGCATTGCATGAAATGTCAAATTATTTTATTTTAAATTATAAAATATCTGGAAATACTTGCACTGTGTCTAAATTTTGCATTTAATATGTAAATGACAGGCATGTTGAGTGTTTGGGCTGTGACTTTAAACCATAACCAGCAACTCCACTGTTATCTTGTGAAAACCAATGTTGAAAACTAAGTACTGTACAAAGAAATTACACTGATACTTCACATTAATGAAAAATGAGTATCCAGAGAATAGGTTTGAATCCTCCTCGTGGCTTCTACTGATTTTCTTGAAACTATGTGATCATTAACAGGGGGCCCTACCTCCAATGTATAATAATAATATGTTGTTAATACATAGAAGTGGTAGTGAAAGAAGTCTGTTGCTGTCATTATAATTACCCGTACAAGGTGTGAAGATTGACTGTAATTAATGATGTAAAAATTTCCACTGGTGTGGCTAAGAATTTTTTGTGTCCTCTGTAATCCTTTTGCACTGCTGCTAACAGAATGAGAATTGGTGTGACCTATAAATTAGCCGCCTCCAGCAGCAACAGTCAAGAGTACATGCCTAACAACGTATACCAACCACCACAAATGATATCCACATACAGAATAGAGACAGGAATCAACACAGGTGTAAAGGAGGAATTTTATAAAACTGCAACTTCAAAAACAAGAGGACTAAGGATTCAAACTAAGAAACAAAGGTGGAGAGAAAATATATGAAAGTTCTGTTTCACAAACAGAGTTGTAGATAGAACCATTTAAGTGTGAAGGTGGTAGATGCCAAAACCATCATTAGATTCATCAAAACATCAAATGACAAAGATTAAAGTGAAGACATGGCACCACAAGCATGGCTGTCATTTTCTCGTTCTTTAACTATACCAAGAATAGTAATCTTAGGTAATCTAGATCACCTAGTAATATAGATCTAGTAATCTAGATATAGATTAGGTAATCTATATCAATTGATCGATATAGATCACTTCTATATCAATCGATATAGATCAATCTATATATATATATTTTGGTAATTGATATAGATCACTTAGGTAATGACCAGCCAGCAGTAGTCTGCATAATGCAGGGTTCCCAATTGGAGGCACCTCACACGATACCTGAGGCTACGAGTTACGCCTGCACTCAAGGAGAGCAACAAGAAGAGCATATGGATGATCTGCAATGAAAAGTGTTCCTTTCTGGGGGAAGCTCCGTCGGCTCCCCAGAGCTAAACCAGGCTGATATGCTAA